AAGTGGTGCCTCGATGCGCACCCGGGATCCGAACCCGGGCCGCCAGCATCGCAGCGCGCGCACTTAACCACCAAGCCACAGGGCCGGCCCTGCCTGTTTTTAAATTGGATTATTTGTCTTATTATTGAGAAATTATTCACATACCATAAATTCATCATTTTAAAATGTACAGTTGAGTGGTTGTTAATATAGTCACAAGGTTGTGCAACCATCACCACTATTTAGTTCCAGAACATTTTGATCACCCCCAAAAGAAACCTTGGACCCAGTAGCAGTCACTCTCCATTTCTCCAGTGGCTAATGACATTGAGCATATTTTCATGTGCTTGTTGGCTGTTTTAATATCTTCTTTGGAAATATGTCTATTCAAATCCTCTGCCCATTTTTCAGTTGGGTTATTCTTCTTTTCATTGTTGAGTTGCAACACTTATTTACATATTCTTCTTTATATACTCTCGTCAGATATATGATTTGCAAAAATTTTCTCCCACTTTGTGGATTGTCTTTTCACTTTCTTGATGGTGTCCTTTGAAGCATAAAAGTTTTAATCTTAAGTTCAATTTTGATGATGTCCAATATGTCTATTTTTTTCTTTTGTTGCTTGTGCTTTTGGTATTATATCTAAAAAACTGTTGCCTAATCCAGGTCATGAAGATTTATGCCTAAGAATTTTATAGTGTTAGCTCTTACATTTAGCTCCTTAATCCATTTTTTGAGTTAATTTTTGCATATGGAGTGAGGTAAGGGTCCAACTTCAATCTTTTGCATGTGGATATCCAATTGTCCCAGCACCATTTGTTGATTTCTATTCTTATAAGTTTGTTACATTGTGTTTTATGTCCCAGAATTGGGTCTATATTGGTGAATGTTCTGTGTGAGCTTGAGAAGAATTTGTATTCTGCTGTTGTTGAAAGAAATATTCTATAAATGTCAACAAGATCCGCTAGATTGATGGTGCTATTCAGTTCAACTATGTCCTTACTAATTTCCTACCTGCTGGATCTGTCGATTACTGATAGAGGGATGTTGAAGTCTCTAACCATAACAGTGAATTTATCTGTTTCTCCTTTCAGTTCTATCAGTTTTGCCTCATGTATTTTGATGTTCTGTTGTTAAGTGTATTCACATTAAGGATTTTGTCTTGTTGGAGAATTGGCCCTTTTATCTTTATGTAATGCTTCCTCTTTGTCCCTGATAATTTTCCTTATTCTGATTTCAGCTTTTTCTGAAATTAAAATAGCTAGTCCAGCTATCTTTTGATTACCATTAATATGATATATCTTTTTCCATCCCTTTACTTTTAATCTATCTGTGTCTTGTAGACAATATATAGTTGAGTCTTTTTTTTTTTTTTTTGTGAGGAAGATCAGCCCGGAGCTAACATCTGATGCTCATCCTCCTCTTTTTTTGCTGAGGAAGATTGGCCCTGGGCTAACATCCGTGCCCATCTTCCTCTACTTTATATGGGACGCCCCCACAGCACGGCGTGACAAGTGGTGTGTTGGTGCACACCCGGGATCCGAACCCACGAACCCCGGGCCACCAAAGCGGAGCATGCGCACTTAACCGCTTGTGCCACCAGGCCGGCCCCTATAGTTGAGTCTTGTTTTTTTAATCCACTGTGACAGTCTCTGTCTTTTAATTGGCATATTTAGACCCTTTACATTTAAAGTGATTATTGAGGTAGTTGGATTAATATTTACCATGCTTGTGACCATTTTCTGTTCATTGCACTTGTTTCTTTACTACCCCCCTTTTACTGCCTTCTCTGGTTTTGGTTAAACATTTTATATGATTCCATTTTCTCTTCTTTCCTAGCATATTATACCTCTTCCGAAAAAATTTCAATAGTTTCCCTAGAGTTTATAATATCCATTTACAACCAATATAACAGCACTTTCACATAAAACTTTACCATTTCATAGGTAGTTCAGGTACCTTATAACAGAGTATTCTCAATTCTTCCCCCTCATCTCTTATAACATTGTTCTCATTCATTTCATTTATCCATAAGGTAAAATCACCCATTATATCGTTGCTATTATTACTTTGAACAGTTATCTATTAGATCCATTAAGAATAAGAAAAAGAAGGTTTTATTTTACCTGCATTTATTATTTGCTGACACTCTTCCTTTTTTATGTAGATCCAAGTTTCCTTCTCTCTGAAGAATTTCTTTTAAAAATTTTTGCAAAGGTGATCTACTAGCAACAATTTCCCTCAGTTTTTGTTTCCCTGAGAAAGGTTTATTTCTCCTCCACTTTTTTCTTTTTTCCTTTTATTATGGTAATAAAACCTACAGCATGAGATCTACCCTCTTAATAAATTTTTAAGTATACAGAACAGTATTTTTAACTGTAAGTACAATTTTGTACAGCACATGTCTAGAACTTTTTCATCTTCCATAACTGAAACTTTATACCCATTGAACAGCAACTCTCAACTTCTCCCTTCCACCAGCCCTTGGCACCACCATTTACTTTCTGCTTCTGTGAGTTTGACTACTTTA